TATGCATCGTGGCATTCTATGTGTCATACAACGTGACACTCAACGCGACATTCATTCATGCGCGACGCTCAACGTAGGCGGCATGCGTCGTAGGCACTCAACGTGTCATACTAAAGTTTGGCGTTCATGCGTGTCGCTCGCCTCCGATGTGGAAGGCGTGTGGCTGCGTTATGATGACGCTTGCTCGTAGCTTAACGTGGGTGGCATGCATCGTTGCATGTCTTGCTAGAGTTTGCTCTGCTATATATTTTCGATCCGTTCTCTGCGAAAATCATTCTTCCTTGCTCGTAGTGTGTATTATATTTCGATTCGTTCTGTGAGCGGATCACTCTTGTCAGATCATTGTGTTTCACCCACCCACCTCCCGTTTTTCATCTCTCATTTACTTTGATAAAGTAAATAAAGGGGTGTTGGCCATGCTCATTTCCGGCTACTCAGGGCTCTCGGTCTTCGTCCCTTGGACGTGACTATCCTCTTGGCCCCGCCAAGATCCTGCTCTCTCTGTAGCCTCTCTGTTATGTCTGGCCCTAAGGGCCCACACACAGCATTACTCAGGTTCGTACAGTTATTGTAATAATCAAGGAACAGAAAGACAAGGAAAAGAGAGCTCACATTCTCGGACCTAGTCCAGCACAGCAAGCATGCAAAACCAGCCACGAGCCCAGGCGCGCATGCGCGCCTTATCACATCACGTACACAGCAATCGCCCCCCAAGAATTTTTCCCGGGGTAAAATTATAACATAAGCAAAGAGGCACTCAAATTTGGCGCCGACAGATATAGCTGTTGACACTACACGGCCAGATAATACAAAAGCAAAAAAGTTCAAAAACATTGCACACATATACTTATAACAGTTACTGCAGCTTCCAGAATAGTCCATGAGAGCTGAGCTATAGATCGAGGTAGGAATGACAGATAAAGTCAGCCAATATTGCATAGCGTTGGGGAATTAGATCAGATCGGAAAAGGAACCATGCAAATGTTTCAATGAATTAAACGAAAACAATCTTATGTGAAGACTGTTCGTCATGACCTACATGTAGAATATTCATCTGGCCCAGAAATGTCCACTTCCTACACTCAGGCCGCATCAGATCAAAGTAACAGGACAAGCAATACATACTCAAAGGCAATAGTACGGATACTTAGCAGTTCTCAATCAAGCGCTTGGGCGCGGAGACATGTCGGTCGGAGCGACGCAAGGGTGCCGGTGCAACAACACTGGGAGCCGTCTCGACTCCAACGGCGTCTGCTGCTGGTGCTAGCGTATCATCCGGCCTGACAGTGCTACTGTTGCTGCTAGCGTCCGGAAGTGGTAGAGGAGAATCTAGCACTGTCGGCGGGTCACTGGTCGGTGTAGGCAGCTGTGCGACCGCCTGGTCCGCAGAAGACGAAACGGGTACTTGGCCAAACTGCACCGCCCGCGGTCGTAGTTGGTCCCTATGGCGCTTCCAGACGACATCATCCACCTGTACTCCGAAACTGTGAGGGCTGTGGACATGCACTACAGTAGCTGGTACCCAAGTTGCTCCACGACCAAAGTTCAGGGCGAACACAGCGTCACCGGTGTTAAACTTTGGCGTAGTCAAGCTCTCCTGGTACACCTTGACCTGCCGATGACTCTCAGACTGCCGCAATGCACTGAGCCGGATTCTCGGTTGCCGGCCCATTAACAGCTCCGCCGGCGTCTTCCCACTGGTGGTCGGCGTTGTTCGATGCGCTAAGAGAAACCGGTCGAGCCTGACGTTGAGTGGTTCACCAGTATTCGACATTTCTTTCATCTTCTGCTTGAAGACGCCAACGTAGCGTTCGGCGAGGCCATTAGTTGCTGGATGACCTGGTGCCGTTGTTGTGTGTAGAATGCCATTGCCATCCAGGAACGCCTGGAATTCCGCACTCGTGAACTGACTGCCGTTATCTGTAACCAAGTGCTCAGGCAAACCAAACACAGAAAACAGATGGCGTAAAGCAGAAATCGTGGTCGCACTGGTTGCATGAGCCATGGGTATTACATCCAAGTACTTAGAGTAAGCATCTACCACCACCAAGAACATTTTTCCCAGAAATGGCCCGGCAAAATCAATGTGTATCCGTTTCCATGGACCCGTCGGCCATGACCAAACACCGGGTTTTGCCGGTGGGCATTTGGCATTCTCTTGGCATTGCAAACACGCATTGACTTTAGATTCTATATCCTGGTCAATATTGGGCCACCACAAGTAGCGCCGGGCCACTTGCTTCATTTTCACCATGCCAAAATGCTCTGCATGCAGATCTCGTAGCAAGAGCATTCGAAGTGAGTTAGGAATCACCACCCGGTTGTCCCATAACAAGATATCATTCTCCACAGACAATTCCATTCTCTTGCTAGCATATGCCTTGAGGTCTTCCTCAATTTCAGCAGGCCACCCATTAACCGTATAGCGAATTACTTTAGCCAATACAGAATCCTTTGCCGATTCTGCTCTCACCACAGCTGCTTTGATTATTGAGTCGTTCTCGATAAGCAAGACCTGTACCGTGACGGTCTCCTCCTCGCTCGGTGACACAGATTGCATTGGTTGTCGCGAGAGAAAATCCGCATGGACGTTTTCTTTCCCCGCGAGATACTGCATTTCGTAATCATATGCCGCCAGTTGCAATGCCCATTTCTTGATTCGATTAGAGGCGAGAGTGGGGACATCCTCGTGATTTCCCAGTAACTTCAAGAGTGGCCGATGATCAGTGACCACTATGAACTCTCTACCGAGTAGGTACTGGCGAAATTTGGTCACTCCGAACACCACAGCCAATGCTTCTCTTTCAATTTGAGCATAGCGTGACTCTGCTGGGGTCAGCTTACGCGACATGAATGCGATCGGTCGTAATTCGCCATTCTCCTGCTTCTGCAGTAGGACTGCGCCAAGGCCCACTCCCGAAGCATCCACTTGCAACACTGTTGGCCTTTGTAAATCATAGTGTGCCAGTAGGGCTTCTGAACACATAGCATCTTTCAATTTGCCAAAAGCTTGCTCGTGAGTGGTCTCCCAGTGCCATTTCCCACCCTTTTTCAAGAGGTCGTACAAAGGAGCTGCAATTTCTGCGAAATGAGGCACAAACTTCCGCACGAAATTTGCAGAACCGATGAAAGATTGCAATTCGGCAACATTCTGTGGTGGTTTGGCCATTTTCAGTGCCTGTATCCTGGCTGTTGAAGGGGAGACGCCCTGCCCACTGATCGTGTGACCTAAGTAAGAGAGTGCCTCAGCCATGTAACAGAATTTCTCCGGATTCAATTTGAAACCTTTCTCATCCAGTCGATGGAGTACCCGGTCCACGTTTTCCTCATGGATTTCATCATTTTCCCCGGTACACAGCACATCATCAATGTACCCGCCGCTGCCTGGTAGCGCAACCAAGGTTTCTTCCATTACCCTTTGGAAAATGGATACGGCACTGTGGAAACCAAACGGTAAGCGTTTGTACTGGTACAGGCCCTGAATTGTGTTGATGGTGGTGTATTTCCTGCTTTCCGGTGCTACCTCTAGCTGGTGGTATGCTTGGGACAAGTCGAGTTTGGTAAACTTCCCTCCCGGGCCCAACTTGTGCAACAATTCCTCGAGGGTGGGGAGTGGGTACTGTTCACATTCTGAATGCTTGTTAATAGTCCCACTGTAATCTGCGCAAATCCGTAATCCTCCTCCTGGTTTTTCTACTTGTACCGTTGGTGAGGCCCATTCGGAATGCGTCACTTTCTCAATCACCCCATCAGCCTCGAGTTTGTTCAACGCGTCGATGTACCGCTGTCGAATTGCTAGAGGTACTGGTCTTGCTCGTTTGTAGACCGGTTGTTCATCTGACACGTGCAGCTTTACTTGCACCCCTTGCACCGTACCCACAGTGGAGTTGTCAAACAGATTCGGGTATTTCTTAACGAAATCGGTAGTGGATTGCCCGCCAGTGCCCACTTTGAATATAGATTTCCATGGCAAAGTAAATCTGGACAAGACATCCCGGCCTAAGAGAGACGGACCATCACATTCAGTAACTCTGACCAGAACATTCTCCTCTACACCACCCAAAGCCATTTTCATTTCGATTTCACCCAGACATTTGATTGGATTTCCTGTGTATGTAGATAGGGTGATGCTGGACGGTACCAGCTCAGACACGGAGCCATTGCATTTCAGAAAATCATTTTTTCCTAGCAGTGTGACGGTGCTACCCGTATCAATTTCCAAGTGCACCTGGACCCCATTTAGCTCGACAGGCGTAGTGTACGGTGCTACAGCTCTGTCACTCATGGTGGCATTCACATTCAACATCGGTACAGAATCATTACAAGGAACAAGCTCACCGGGGTTTGATGTTGTCCCGACATGCTTGACGGACCTGGCCGCTTTCTTCTTTAGGCAGGCTCGTTCGATGTGTCCCAGTTTGCCGCAAGCACGACACTTCGCAGATTTGAAGTGGCACTCATCCGGTCGATGTCCCAGCTTGTCACAGCGGAAACAGGGCTTGTCAGATTTGAACGTGGCGTTGTCGGCGAGCCCCGGCTCTCCGCGTACTGCATGAACCTGCGTTGAAAACTTCTCAGACTCGCGGAAAGCTGTCTCATGAGCCGTGGCCATGTCGACAACCTGCTGAAATGTTGTCGTCTCCTCAGCCTTCGCCAGGATTTCCTTCGTCGTGCTGGTAGAACCGATCGCAGTGATGAACTGGTCACGCAAGGCCCTGTCGAGATAAGCTTCAAACTTGCAGTCCATGGCTGCCCGTTTCAATCGAGCCGCGAACATGATCGCAGACTCGCCCTCCTTCTGCAGGGTTTTCTGAAATTGATAGGTAGCAGCAACTACACTAATCTTGGGCTTGAAATAATCACAGAGGAGCTTCAGCAACTCTTCGAACTTCTTCTGCCCTGGTTTATCTGGGAGGCACAAATTCTTCAGTGTGGAATAAACCTGACCGGATAGTTGACTAATCAGCACGGCGCACTTTTTCTTGTCTGCCGCTGTCTGTACTGTCTCGGTTGCATCGTCTGCAACTTGGCCAATGTCATTAGCCAGAAAATGAAAATTGAGTCTCTCTGCATACTCGTCAAAATCCCCAGTTTCGAAAATTTCTAATCTGGAGTTGCGTCCTGCCATCTTCGTCGCCAATTGTTATGTCTGGCCCTAAGGGCCCACACACAGCATTACTCAGGTTCGTACAGTTATTGTAATAATCAAGGAACAGAAAGACAAGGAAAAGAGAGCTCACATTCTCGGACCTAGTCCAGCACAGCAAGCATGCAAAACCAGCCACGAGCCCAGGCGCGCATGCGCGCCTTATCACATCACGTACACAGCACTCTCACTTCGCTGGCCAGCACCCTCCTAACCGCAAGCTGCTGTGTGTTGTAGTTAATTCGTGCATGGGTGTGTTTGTGTGTGTGTGTGTGTCCATACATCCGTGCATCCGTGTGTGTGTGTGTGTGTGTGTGTGTGTGTGTGTGTGTGTGTGTGTGTGTGTGTGTGCGTGCGTACATGTGTTTGTGAACATGTGCATAATCAGATATATGTGTGTGTGTGAGGGTGTGCGCGCGTGCGTGTGTGTGCGCGCGCGTGTGTGCGCGCATTGGTGTGTGCGTGCGATTGTGTATGTGTGTGTTTGTGCATGCATGCGTATGCATGTGTATGCATTCACGTTTGTGTTTATGTGTGTTTGTGTGTGTGCGTGTATTCATGCAGTGCCGCACGCAGTATCCGTGGCAAGCGCAGTCTGGTGATCTCCCGTAGCACGTACTCCGGCAGTGGCAACCACACCGGCCACTGGCTAGGCGACAACGACAGTACCTGGCCGGATATGGCAGAGTCCATACCGGGTATTCTAGACTTCTCCATATTCGGCATTCCACTGGTGAGCCGCGAATTTGAATTTGCCGTATCTTCTGGAGTATGGGCCCCACTTGGAACACTCACAATTCACACAATGGAAATCGGTATGGCTTATACTTCGATGATCAAATGAACCGTGGAATACAGAGTAGATGTCCGTATTTCGTGACAAGAAATCTCGTTCATGCTTGTATTTGTGTGTGTTTGTGGATGTCCATGTCCGTGTGTGTGTGTCCGTGTGTGCGTCTGTATGTGTATCTGTGTGTGTGTGTGTGTCCGTGTGTGTGTCCGTGTGTGTGTCCGTGTGTGTGTGTACGTGTGTGTGTGTCCATGTGTATGTGTGTGTGTGTCCGTGTGTGTCTGTGTCCGTTTGTGTCTGTGTACACGCCAACGTAAAAACGTACACGTTTATGTGTATGCACCGTCTGTGCACGCTTGCGTTTGCAGATTGGCGCTGACATCTGTGGTTTCCGTGACAACGCCACGGAGCAGCTGTGCCAGCGATGGATGCAGCTAGGCTCCTTCTATCCGTTCTCCCGGAATCACAACATCATCGGAACACTGGTATGTACATAGAGTGGGTCAGGGCGCGTAGCTCGTGTATACTGTGAAAGCAAAAAATTTCGGTGGTGTAATATTTTCGGTGTTCTCCAAAATCGGTGGAGGGAAACTTTCGGTAAACCCGTTTTCCAGGTACACTCAAACGCCTCATATCCGGACGCCTCAGTACGGGCACGTCTCTCTACCGGCCACCCTCAGCTTGAGTTCCTATGGCAAAAATGCTTCGAATTTGGGGGGTTGAACTTTTTTTCCGAATGCACAAGTGCTTATTTGTCACTGCCAACCTGTGTAATCCATACATTTTTATCCAAGGATTATTTTCGTAACCTGAACATGTGCAATATGCACCAAAAAAACTTCTTCAAAAATGATAATGATACATGGTACATGAGTTATCCTGAGATACGGGCAAATCTGAGATACGGGCAGTGCTGGCAAATAATTTTCGCCCAAAATCAGACAAGGCATGTTACTTTGCACTTCCACAGCCAAGCGCTAGCCTTTTTTTAGAAACAAAATGTACAGTAATTTGTGCCTTCAGTTGCGCTGAAAAGTGAAAGTACAGGACTTCTGCATAGGAAAGTAATGATCTCCGACATTTTGGCTGCTTTTCGGACGTTTCCCTTTTCGGACCGGTTTTCGGAAGAGCCTTCAAAAATCGGACACTGTCCGAAAAATCGGACGGTTTGGCAGCACTGTACGGGCAGTGCCCGGTCCCAAGGTGCCCAGATAGGAGACGTTCGAGTGTAAGTGTACTACAGTACTAAGACCGGAATTTTCGGTGCGTTTTATTTTTGGGAAAAAGTTCGGCACTGAAGTTACCGAAAATAAAACTCCACCGAAAATACCCGCTTTTACAGTAGTCAGCGTAGTCCGGTCACCACACCAGCAAAGGACCGTCGTAGGTACTCCAGTACTGCTCGATGAAATCCAGTCGTGTCACTCAAGTACGCGCCGAGCGTTGCGCAGCCCTACACCTGCGAACCGTGACTGGGCTGGGGAGTGGTGCACGGCGCAAACTTGTGCGACGCGACTGGATTGCGCACTTCCCACTTCCCGTCACAATGTGCCATTGCTAGCGAAATGAGAAATTTCATTGACCAACACTGTACATAGTCAATATTAGCAAAATGACGGCTATGAGGTTGCCGGTGGCAACAGGTCACCACACCACAGATGTACAAGCTACGCTCATGGTGGATAACGATGGTGTGATGTGCACGTTAGTGTGAGCAGTATGTCTAGTGTGTGAGCAGTATGTCTCGGCATGCAAGCATTGTAGTAAACGGTTTGGCCGAACGTCGATCAATGAACAATTGTGCAAACGTTGTGGAAATAATGATTGACTGACTCTGTTCGTTTGTGTGTACGCACATGTTTTTGTCTGTGTATGTACATGTATGTATCGGCACATGCGTTTGTCTGTGCACATGTGCTGGCGGCACGCGTGTTTGTCCGTGCATGTGTAACTGTGTGTATGTACACGTGTAACAACCGTGTGTGTGTCTGTGTGCATATGTGACCATCACAGGCACAGGACCCGGCCGCCCCGCGGTTCAGCGAGGCGTTCCGCAACTCCACGCGCTCGGCCCTGACGATGCGCTACCGTCTCCTGCCCTACCTCTACACGCTGTTCTTCTTCGCCTCCTCCACGGGGTCCAGTGTGGCACGACCGCTGTTCTTTGAGTGAGTTCATCGTACTATAGGGCGCCGAAGAGCCTAGCGCCGAAGAACGACTAACCTAGAATTTCCCCAAGCACAGCATACTAATGTATACACAGTTATTCAACTGTGCATAAACTGTAGTACATGAAAATAGGAACGGTCTAGGCTAGGAGGCTGACCCCCAGTTCTTCGGCGACCCGCAGCACTGTAGAACTTGTACTTGTTGCTCACTGCCAAAACTGGTCACGTGGGTCTCCCTGGGAGAGGGGAGAGAGACTCAAAAGGAATCTTGGAAAGATAACTGAATTGGCTATTGAACCGCCCAACGGCCGACACCCCCTGAAATCCCCTAAAATCTGGGTGGACTTGAAAATGATCCCACGTATGGGCTCACCACACCTCAGTAAGTGGGTGAGGATAAGGTGCAGAAAAACTGTAGTACACTTCCACCAACTCAAACTGTTCTCTTTTCTCGCGTGGACTTCCCGATGTCAGAAAGTATTCACTGTGTTAAAGTTCTTGGTGTGAATCGGTTCCAGCGGTAGTAATCTTGCACCTGCCTGACGATCAAGCCGCGTCGACAAAATGTGATCTCATGTGTGTGTGTGTGTGTGTGTGTGTGTGTGTGTGTGTGTGTGTGTGTGTGTGTGTGTGTGTGTGTGTGTGTGTGAGTGTGTGTGTGTGTGTGTGTGTGTGTGTGTGTGTGTGTGTGTGTGTGAGTGTGAGTGTGTGTGTGTGTCAGTGTGTTTGTGTATGTGTGTGTGTGTGTGTGTGCACGCGCACATGTGTGTTTTGTGCACCCATGCCTGTGTGTGTTGTGTTGTGTGTATGTGCGTGTGCGTATGTATGGTGCGTGTGTGTGCGTATGTTTGCTGTGTGTGTGTTCTAGATACCCGACAGACGTGAACACACTGGGAATTGACCGCCAGTTTCTGTGGGGATCAGATCTGCTCATCAGTCCTGTCCTGGAAAAGGTATATTTTCTGGCGGCCGTCTCACATCTTATAATTATTATTATTTGCATTGTATTGTATTCATTAAGAAAGTGGTGGACATCACGCAACTGCATCATAAAGAAAAGGGGGGTTGTCAACTGACAACCGCTCTGTTCAGTTGCTATTCACAATCGCCGTGTGTGCTGGATGAAAACATAATTCTATTGTGATATCGGAAAAAACTTTGTCGTTTCGAGCCAGTCACCCATCGTCAGAACCAGTATTGGATTTAAGGATTTTCCACAGGCCTTGGCCGAAATTGGGAGTCTCCGTATTTCTATTCATGTGATGCCAGTGACAATAGATGATATGCCAAATAACGTGCAACTAGACTTGAGAGGGCATCGCACACAAGTTGCATACAAATTATACTACAATGTGTACATGGTAGACCCTGAGCTCTGCAGGAATGCAAGTCACAGGTAACCGTACAACTATGAACTTTGTATGCAACTACTCTGCAATGCCCTCTCAAGTCTAGTTGCACGTTATTTGGCATATCATCTATTCTGCTCGATACTGATGCAGTGAGTATCGGCTATAGAGTGACCGGATATAAGAATAATAGAATATATCAGCTAAAGTGATAACGGAACGAAATATCAAAAGCAAAATGGACTTTAGCCAGTCAAAATATCACTGACGATGGGTGACTGGCCTGAAACGTCATAATTTTTCGACATCACAATAAGAAAAATTTCATCCAGCGCATGCACCAAGTGTGAAAAGCAAGTGAATAGAGCGGTTGTCAGTTGACAAATCCACTTTTCTTTATAATGCAGTTGCATGTTGTCCACCACTTTCTTAGTCATAATATCAGTATAGCCAATAATATCGAATGTAGTGATATATCGGGTGTTACGATGGTGTGCCATCATCTGTGTGAGCATGTTTGATGTTTGAATGGTGCTATAAGCCCATT